AAAAAAAAAAATCGAATTTTTGAAAAATTTGGTCGGCGGGTAATGCAAAACGAAAAATTAACTTTGCGCGGCCTAATGCAAAGTAATACTATAATAACGCCTCCAGATACGCCTTTACTTATGAATACAAATAAATACGAGTGTAATATATGTCAAAAAACATTTAAAAATAGATCAGGATTAACACGCCACAATACTATTATCCGTAAATATAGTATTCAAGAGGAGTTACCAACCGTACCACCAAATCTTTCAGAATTATTCAAAAATGATTTAGTGTATTTTATTCATCGTCAATTATCTAATGGTCTCGCAAATTCTGGGAAAAAAACTGTGTCCGTTGCATGTAGTAAAAATCAGTTTTACACAATCTTTGGAAACTATATTCATTTTTATTCAAAAAAAACTGATATTTGTAAATGCTTGTTTCGTGGATTAGAAGGTAAACACAAGTTAAATCAAATATTCGGAAGATTAGATTGGGGAATAAAATATTATGATCAGAATCAAATAACATATATAGTCTTTGATAATGATCAGTCATTAGAATCTTGTCAAAACTCTGAAATTAATCCTTTGGCAGTTGCTACGGCCAAAAGATCTAAAAAAAAAAAATTTAAATATGGTGAAGTAGTAGTAGAGTGGAAACGAAGATATGATAAAGATGCTAGTGGTAATATTTGTAGTGCGGGTTTTGTTTATTTTCATTTTTATACGAAACAAGCATATATTCATAATAAATAGAAATTTAATATTTAGATTACAATTTATATAACGTTAACAACAAGAGTTGTGGATAATACTTTATATTTTGTTGTTTATTACTGTTACAATTACACTATAAATTATTAGACATGTTGGCAATTATAAATTTAAAAGAACGTAAATCAGGTACGTCATACCAAGATATTAAATCGTTAAATATCAGATATTTTATCTAGACTATCTGATGATGTAAATTCTCGGGAATATCTATATGTTAAAGGTATTAGTCTAAACTTTAAATTAAAAAGATATTTTATAATAGCATTCTAATTATTTATAGTCGCTGATTTGGAATAGGCATTGCATTAGCGAAAAGAAATTGTTAGTAAAGACACCTCTATTCTGGAATCACTTGCAGATTTAATAAATCTTTAGTGATTGAACCAAATAATGCACGGGTATCAGGAGACCTCACTCAGTATATGTTAGGCAGATATATAAAAACTCGGTTTTTTTATAAATTATTAATTATTGAACCAAATAATGCGCGGGATTAAGAAATCGTGGAACAATTCATTGTGTTAGACAGGTATGAAGAATCATGTGCAAATTTGAATAAATATTTAGAAATTGAACTTAACTTCTTGAATCTTTAATGATTAGCTTAGATCGGATAGAAAAGCATCAGCAAAGGCGCCTTCAGAAACATTGTCCTATAGTTCAATGGTTCCTGGGACGGATATCATAATGAACTGTATATGGAATTGGAGTTAGAAATGATGAGAATAAGCCATTCACTTATTACTAGGAATCTGCTTAAATAAGTAACGATGATGGAATAAAAAATCTTAGAGATCGTTATTAATGGTATGTTTTCTCAGTTTTTATTGTCAAAATGGAAATGGAGCTGAAAAAAGGCTTAATTATTATCAAAACTCTGCTGATATGAATAATTGTCGAATATGCACCTCAATATGGTTAATTTATGATCGGGTTGGTGCTCAAGTATTACGATTAATTATTAATATTGATTGCAATTGATGCTTGAGCAAACATTATTATCCAAATCGAAATAAAAAAAATGAAGCCGATGGATCAACAAAGGATAAAGCAATTTACAACACTTTACGGCACTAAATAACTTCTGTTTCTTTTTCAGAACTTACTAAGAAAACAAAAACGTGCTTTTTTTATTTGCGGCGAAGCTTTTTGCATAAGAAATAAGGTAATAATTCGTCATCTTGGAAATTGCTATTTTTATGTAAGTGTAGTTAAAAAAAAAAGGGAATTTACTCATCGGGACCCAGATTTGAAAATAATTATAAATGAGGGCCCAACTTAAAAATATTTATTTATGAAGGCCTAATTTTTGAAAATATTACAAATATGGGCCCTAATTTAATCATGGGATCATCTCGCTCATAACGATAATATTTACAATCGAAGATGGAGATGATTTTTAAGTAATTTTTAGAAAATCGAGACGGAAGAAATTTACTAATAGATAAGTGTCTTGTATTTTTATACTCATATATTGAATATATATGATTACTAATTTATATTTGTTAATATGTAGTAACGACGACACTTCTTATGCGCCAGAAGTCAAATTTGAGTTACGTATATACAGTAAGTTAAATCTTGCTTGGCGTATTTAGTAAAGTAGTACTGTACGGCAGTACAGATTCAGATCGTACGTACGGTTAATGTAGACTTGCAGAATTCGATTTTTATATGAGTTGGGGTTTTAGGAAAAGTAACTTGACGAATTTTTTCTTTTATAAACCGTACGTACTATCATGATTTTTACACGTCCGTCCTAAATTGTGCTGCCGTACCGTACTACTTTTCTATATACTCGCTAGAAATCCTGCTTAAGCCACGATGGGCACTGATTCGTACGACGCAAAATTACTTGGGTACGTATTTGTAATCTTTTTAAAAATTAGGCCTTTATAAATAAATATTTTTAAGTTGGCCTTTATAAATAAATATTTTTAAGTTGGCCTTCATTCATAATTATTTTCAAATTTGGGTCCCGATGTGTAAATTCACCTTAAAAAAAATCCATCAGTCAAAATTAAAAAATTCAGTGTGTTTAATGGCATAATTCGAATGCAACTAATTCAATATTGTGCATTCCTGCTAAGTCATATAAATTCATTTTTCTCATCAACGATATATAGTTAATTATCTGCGGAAAAATTTAGGTTTAAAGGGGAAAAAATAAATTCCGGAGATTTATCTATATTACAAGGAAGGAGGTGCCGAATAGTCTTCCTGCATAATGGTGGTGCGAATTAGTCTATAAGTAACGGCGTGATATTTTGTAACTATCAGCTATGCATAAAGATTACGTACAAGTATAAGCATTTTTGAAAGTTAATATTTCCTTAAATTATTAACACCTATAATTTTTAACACCAATAAAATGTGCATATAAATACCTTTGATGTCGAAAAAAAGAAATCGATGATTCTGATTTCTGATTTCCGATAAATATGAGTTGCATCATAAGAAGTAATGTTAAAGAAATATAAAGATTTATGTATATATATATATATATTTATAGTATATATACGTATATATTTTTTAAAAAAAACATCAAAAATTATATCCCTTTGGATGCACAAAGTATCTTTTTTGTGCAACTTTAATATCTAAAACTTACCGAATAATCTACACGAGTACAAATTATTCTGCCTGTTTATTATTGAAAAACATAAACACAAAGCATCAAAATGTTTTATATCCTACTTAAAAAATATGCATTAATTTAAACGAAAAGAATTACACGCATGTTACAATTATGATGAACCAACCGGAATTATGCATTTATTAATGAATGTGGGTATGATTTATGCATAATTGACACTGAAGCGGATTACTCCTTGCATTGTGAATTGCCGTAAACAGTGCGCTTGAGTTGTAATTGGATAAATATTTTTTTGTGTACCATAAATAGTTTTTATACGTGACAATTTTTTTTTTTGTAGTAAGTGAAGTATGTCTAGCTTTTATTTACAAGAACTTAATAATTATTCATATGAAAAGTTTGATGAATTTGCTTTACAAGAATCTAATAATTTTTTACAAGAATCTAATAATTTTTTACAAGAACTTGATGACTCTTCACAAGAATTTGGAAATTTTTCACAAGAACACGATAACTTTTTACAAGGATTTGATTTTTTACAAAATCCTGATAACTCTTTACAAGAAATTGACTTATCACAAGAATTTGACAATTTACAAAAAACTGATGATTATCCGCAAGAACTTGGAGATTATCCCAAAAATTCTATCATATTGTATAAAGAAAAAAATCGATCTTTTATATATAAAATAATTAAAGAAGGCATTTATCCAATGGCACCTATTCTTAAATATACTTTGGCACCTAATAAATATGAAATACCTGACAATTATATTGTAGAAACTACATGGGGTCATAAAACAAATAAACAAACTATTAAGTCACAAATTAACTATATTTCTGGTACACCTACATTCTATATCTATTATGGATCAAATTTTAAAAATTATATAGTTTCAAATAAATCATCTAGTCATGCTGCAACATTATTACATCAGGTAAAATATAAATTTTTAATTAAATTTTTTAATTTTTAGTATTAGCATTACTAATATTAATTTTTATTATATAGCGAACTACACCTAACAAAAAATCAACATCTTCTGGAATTCTTTTATTTGGTTTACAATTAAAAAAAGTTAGTTATAGTCGAAAAAGAGAAAAACAAATCAGAATGTTAAGGCCAATAGAAATATTTACAAACTCTACACTTACTAAGCGTGCTATTAATTTTTCTAAAGAAATATATACAAATTTTCAAAGTTATACACCCCAATTTTATCATCCAGATGATAAACCTGTATTAGAGTCAATTTGGTATTCAGTAAAATGGTATACTTATGAAGTTGATTATAGTACAAAAGATTCTAAGAGATTAAAACAAAAACAAGAATCAATTTGTCAAATACAAGATGAGAAACATATGTCTCGTAATGTTTATAGTAATCTTGCAGCAGTTGAATCACATCTACCTCGAGTATGGGCAATTTCTGAAAGAAGAAAACAAATTATACAAGATATAGCTAAAGTAGTTCCGATATCCATAATTGATATACAAACACAAGCTCAAGTAGATCTAGATGAAGAGCCTGATATTATTGAAACAGATATTGTAAAAAATGTTATTAATTCAATTGGAAAATACGGATATAGGAGTATTATTGATATTCTTAAATTTATAATGCCAAAATTAATTGAAAAAAAAATTCATAATTTTCCAAATATTAGTATCCGAATCTCAGGTGATAGGCGCAATTGTGGTCGCAAAGTTAAACATGTTCTAATTACATTTGCTATTCTTGATAATATAACAAATAGTTACAAACCTGAATATCATTATACTCTTATTCTTTATCCTGGTGCTGAAGATTATTATTCTTTAAAAAATGCAACAAGATTACTTAATAATGAATTATATGAACTATCTAATAATGGTATTATTATTAATAATACCAAATGGAAAGTTACAATTTACTTTAGGTATAATAGTAAGAAAGCTATTATTTTTGTTAATTGGTTCAAAGGAAAGATGATTTTGTGCTGTAGTTATTAACTGTTTTTGCAAATTTTCCTGATATCGAGCCAAATTTGTAGCTAGTTTTTCTAATGGATTAACAAGCCAATGAAATGCAGGTTTTTTAATCCATGCAGATCTTGTGTATTTAAAAAGAATATTTGAATGATATGCAAGTGTAGTTTTATCAAATTGTTCTCTCTTTTTTTTAGAGCGAATTATATTATAGCGTCCGATAAACTGTTTCATTTCAGCAGGAATATTACAACCCCGATTTTTTAACTTTTCTGGATCACATTTATCAACATACCACAATGCAGCTGCCAAGTCTTTAACAAATTCTTTTCCAGTTGTTATAGCAATATCTTTGCTCCATCCACCATTATTTATACGAATCCATTCAACAATATCATATTTTAATTCTTCTAGTGTGGTTGAATTTTCAGAGATAGTAAAAGTTGGTAGATGATTCAAGATAGTAGCATTATTCATCATTTGTTCAAAAGCATTAATCGGTATTTCAGAAGATAATGATGTCGAACTATCTGTTTGATAATACTGTACTCTGTTACCCCAAGCTTCAATTGCTTCA